AGTGTGTGTGACATTGTCATGCAGATTTGTGTTCCTCAGTTGTTTGGAGATTCTTGTCAGACATTTTGATCTTTGGCCATAAATCCAATCCATACAGTATTTTCAAAGGGAATAATTTTGGTAATCAGTCAATTGTCAATAGTTATGAAACTAGAATAGTTGTTCCATTTTGAAAATATATTTACATACATTTTGTTTCTTCCTTCCCCTCTGCCCTCAGCAGCATGTATTCTTTGGGTACTGCAGATCTGAGAGCTCTTTTTTCCTTCTACCTCATCATGAAAAGGAAGCAGAATGCCTTTCATGAAAGGAGGACATTGACTATTGCTCTCTGAATGCGGCTGGGGTGCCACGATGGGGAAAAAAAAAAACAACAACAACTCCCAGTCACTGAAAGGAAGGGACATACTGGCTTGTTATGAGGTTGCGGATAAATAACTATTATTTTCCTACACCTCAAGAACTGTTACTTTAGAATCTTGCAAAAACCTGTCTGAAATTAAACTCTGCCGCTAAGCTCATCAGCAGAAGGAAAGCAGATTATTTGATCCTTAAACTTAAGATCTCTTCATGAAGGAAGGAAACCAGATGGCCCTAGCATCAGGCCATAGTTTCATTACCTCGGATAAAATGAAATGAAATACTGTTGCTAGTTTGGCAGTCTGAAACCCAGCTTTCTCTTTGTTATCTTTTAAGATTATGGCATCACATTAACCTATTTGCTATTATTTTATCCATAATGGAAAATGACAAATTGTGGGTTAATTTTTCTATTGTTACATCCTGTTGGGAAGGAACGTGTTCTTGCTTGTTTAAAGGAAAAGAAAGTAAATTATCTAATCAATTTTTCTAAATGTTTACTTGCTGCTTTACAGGCAACTATGTTCAAAGGCACTTTTTCATCTTACTCGATATAGAAAGTTGTCGTGTTTTTAAGGGGGAAGTTCTTGAAATCGCCATAGGAAGTGAAGATACTGAAAATGTATATACAGCTTCAGATTTTGTAAGGAAGGTCTTACTCTTAGGAGTCAAGTTTTCTTTTTATATTTGTGAATTCCCCTAGAAGTCCCTTTTAACTTATTTTTCTCTTCTCTCTCACCTCCCACCAAGATAGGAAGGGAAATCTTAGGGTCTGTAGTTATGTGCATCTCTTACAGGCTTGTAAGTTTACATTTCTAAAAACTCGTAGACCAGCCTATGCTCGTCCTAAAGTTTTTGCAAAATACTAGGAGCAGCCAACTATGATAGATACCTCCAAAATAACTTACTCTTGTCATAGTCGCAGAACTGTTCCAAGAGTTTCAAGGTAATGGCTTCAAAAAGAAAATACAGCTTTATGGTAGAGAGAATTTTTTTTCTAGTTTCCTAAGAAAGCAGTGCTTCATACATGGTGGCTATCTTGATTTTGGCCCTCAGTAAGCTTTGACCCCGTACAACTGTAGCCTTTTTTTTTTTTTTTTTTTCCTCGTTCAACTAGGAAATTACCTGCGTAGGAAGAAAATGTGAAGAGGGGGCTATAGTGTTAGAAAATGTAAGAACTGGGAATTTTGCAGTTAGATGAAGGGATCATGATGAGGGAGCCCAGTGTGTTGATATCATCCTTGAGATGCAAAGCTATTGAAAGCCAGAAGTTCATCTGCTTTATTAATTCTTTTGCTCATGGAACTCCTTCTTTTTGAGATTTTGAATAAAATCACTAAAGTTGTTCTGCATGCTGCTTCATGATGTATGTTAACTGCTGCACGGTCTAAGTTTAGGACAGCTAGTTCTGATTTGAGCCCATTTATACTCTTTCTCACTATTCTTGAAGTTTTTTTATTTCCTGTATTATCTATTTCATCATTGATTGTCAGCAAAAAGTTGTGTGGGGTTTTTTCGTTTTTGTTTTTTTTTTCCTCGATCTGCATGATCTGCTCTGTTCCTTTCTCTGTAGTAATATACTTCTGTGCTGAGCAGGCAGGTATTTCTTGTCCAGAGTTTTGCAGTTGCCTTTTATTAAGTGTTTCACTTGAGCAATGCAGGCTGTACATCTTTTGTTTTTCCTTTTTTTCTTTTCCCTCTCAGACCCTGAAATCATGTTTGAGAACTATGTTAGCAGTGTTAAGGATAATCAGATTTTACCCCCAAAAGAGTTACATGCCTGTTTCCATGTGTATCAGCAGTTAAACAATTATGTCCTATTTTAAACTATTAAGATTATATTTAACAGCATGCTACTTGGGCTTCTTGCAAATTACACAATGTATTTCATCACAGGTTGTGACTGTTTAGCTTTTCTGTAGTGTGGGAAGTACTTTAAGTTTTTAAATGTGTTTTAACATAACTTTGATTTATGTTCAGGCTTTCCTTATTATTCTTTGCTGATTCAGAAAGTGATTGATTTATCTCCTGAAAAACCAAAAGGACAACTTGATGTAACTGAGACATTATAAATATCTTCTTTCTTGGCTTTCTAACATGATATGTGCACAGTTTTATGCAGGTATTTTTGAAATGGTGTGAAAATCAAAGATTGATTTGCATGTTCAGCGTCCAGTTCTTATTCGAGTGGTTTCATGAAATAGTATCTTGGTTACATGAATGGTTCCAGAAAGTGCATGTACTTACGTATTATGTAAGGTATTGCTAAATGAAAATACTTAGCCCAAGGAGAATATGTGGATAGGTCCTTTGTCCTATCGTTTGCAACAGCAACAAATAATGAGCTTCTTATATTTAAATAAAAAACAAAAAACAAAACCTTGTTCCACTGGCAAATAAGTTTATTGCTTGTCTGTCTTCTAAAGTAGTTTTATGCCCGTGATTTTATAATTATCTACTTGCATTCTAGAGTTGTATTTTTAAGAGGAAGAATAAACCTTACAATTGAAATAGAAGCAGAAGCTCTGCAGTTATTAAACATGCAAGGTTCTGAAAGTTAAGAAAAACTACAATAGCGTGCTTTAGAAATTTGGAGTTCTTTTTCTGGCAAAATATCTATCTTTGTTATTACTTGACTCTCACTGAAAATTTCATCATTTTCTCCACTTGTTGTCATTGTTGTTTTATGAGAATGATAGCGCTTAGGGAGACCAGCTCTTATGTTTTGATCATAAGTCTTGTGATATTTCATTTTTTCTTTCCACCTTAAAGTGACAGCTCCTGGAACAAAGTAGTTGCATGAGAATCTCATCTTTTTAAAGTAATTTTGTAGCTTTTGTAGTTTTAAATAACTGTACAGAATGCAGAGAGGAAAATATCCTCCCCCCCCCCTTGTTTTTTTTTTAATTAATTTAAAATCTTTGTTCTAAAGCAGATTTCATCCTTTTAAGGAGGCAGGGTTATTTTTTAGCTTTTATGATTGCTGATATAGCACTGAAGAATAGAGTCAGTAGCACAACTCTCCATTAATTATATTTGTTTTGGCAGTGTGGAGAGACAAATCTAGAGCAGAATACATAATTTACTGTCTAGTTAGATGAGACAGATGTAGTTGGAGAAAGGACATAACAGTGTGAATGTGTTGAGGATCTTAACTGCTAGCAATTCCATAGTTGTAGATTTCCGGGATGGTGACGAAAAAAGGAGAAGAGGTAGATAAGCTGAGAAAGGAGGAGAAAAATGGAAGGAGAAAAGAGGAGCTGGTATGGAATTGAGCTGTGATGAAGAGATTGGGGAGAAGATTAGAACAAATGACTAATCTAGATTAGGCAGACGAAAAAATGACCGCTTTCCAAATATGTCTTTACCTGAGTTTTTTAGCTCTTCTTTCTGTGATGAGTCTGACTACTGGTTTTCTCTTCAGCTTTTCTTGACAGTTAAAGAGGCAGGAAATTTAAGATGCATCAGTGTTTGCGTAGTATGTGTGGGGTTGGATGATCTCAGTCTTCCTTGACTGTGTCTGTGCTCAGAAAGAATGCTGGGTGGAGAGTGGTATTTAACATTGCATATCTTCTTGTCGCTGCCTTCTTCAGATCATTTGTGTGAGTGACAAACTAGCTCCACCCTTTGCCTTCTAACTGGCATTTCAATCCTGTTGCTTTTTTTTTGATCTAACCATGTTCATTCTACTTCTGTTTACTCCCTGTGGCACTCTTCCTCTAACTGCAGTTCAGTGCTACCATGCTTGATATTCCTTGGCCAGCTGACAGCTCACTTATCTAATGCACGTGGAGCCTAACAGTTTCATAGACAGGTACTACTTCTTGTCCTGGGCTTCTGGTCAATAGGGATTTTCCTGACCTATATAACCAACTTTACCCTGCATGTAGATGAACAGAAGTAATGGCTTCACAGAGGGGTATGAACTCTCCTATTCAAATTGCTAACGTACAAGTCTGACTAATGTTAACATGTTTAGTCATTTACTTGTTGTTTGTGCTAGCAGAAATATTACTCTAGCTTTCTTAGATCACAGATGGAGTTCTAGTTTGTGAATAAATGAAATGTCACCACTTCTACTAGCAAATCTGAGGACTTTGTTCTCAGACTTGATGTCAGTTTTTTTCTAAAACTGCACTGTTTTATTAGTTGCCAAAATTCTCTTGCAACGTTTTTGAATGTATGTAGTTCAGAAATGTTTTGCTTTAAAGTAAAGAAGTATTTTTCATTCAAATCTTTTATGTTCAGTTAAACAGCCCAATACTTAATTCTTTATATACTTAAACTTTTATAGTAGCTCATTGAAACAATAAGCACAGATAGCAGACTCTGAAGGCAAGCATTTTAGCCAAAAATTCTGCTACTGTTAATATTTGAGCATAATGCACATAAATATTTGATGTATTGCAAACATTTTATTAAACCTTAAAACTGAATCTGTTTCCTGGATTGTAAAATGACAAGAGTGCTTCTGAGCATGGTTAGCATTTCAACACAGGAAATTTCTATATCGTATATTAAGTTATCTTATTTGTCTTGATTAATTTTCTATTACATATTTACATGGTTACTAAACAACAGAGGAGGGGGAGAGAGAGAGAGAGAGAGATGCATGTAATTGTTTTTGTAATTTTTTTCAGGTATTTTTAGCAGCAATGATGTAGCAGTATCATTTCCAAATGCAGTGTCTGGCTCAGGATCTAGCACTCCCGTTTCCAGTTCTCATTTACCTCAGCAGGCTTCAAGCCACTTGCAAGTGGGAGCTCTATCACCTTCAGCTGCGCCTTCTGTAACTACTGTTGTTGCTGCGACTCAGGTAAATTACCAGAAGAGTTTAAGATAGCAAACAATGTTATTGATCTATTTATTTTCAATGTTTTTTAAAAAAAAAACCCTTCATTTATTTGGAAAATAGGTTAATTAATAAGCACTGTATTTGTTGTGCAAACGTTCTTATAGTGGTTAGGAGTTCATCGTAATATTACATAGTCCCATCCTTGTGGAATTTAGAAATGTTTTTTTAAAAAGGTCTGTGGAAGTACATAGTAATAATGACTGTATTACGACAAATAACATTAATGCTGGTTACAGTTCATCAGCACTCTAACCATTGTCTGTTATCAGAACAGTATTTTAAGCAAGGATTTAAGACAGGAAAGCAGGGAAACTTTCTGGGTATTTCATATAAAAATGGTGGTATGAGATGGAGTAAAAAGGTGTTGACTTGGGAGATTTGACAAACTGACAACTAAGGCCAGTACAGGCAAAGAGGAGACCGAGGTTGATATCTTGATAGCAAATGAAAGATGACATGTGCTGTAATTCTGTATCTGAAAGGCCTTACAAAGGAAGATACGTAGTTTGTGTTTGATGGTGAAGGGATGAGCGAGTCAGTAGAGGGGTGCAAATCGAAGGGTGACGTGGTCAAAGTAATGAGCCAGAAAAATTATCTTTATGGCAGCATTTTGTATGGATTTATGTTGGCCAAGACTGCATTTGTCAAGGGCAGGGAGTAGGAAGTTTTAGTAGTAGAAAGCCAACACGATTAGAGTGTATGAGGGAATGCTGTACTGCACATAATGATGTTTTTACGCTTTCTGTGTTTCTTGTATTTGTCCTTCTCCGATGGGACTCTGTTTTACAGATAGATAAATTTATCTTTCAGTTTGCATAGAAGCCATCAGTTTATAATTTATAGTGTCTACAGTGATTTAAAATAGTGGATATAAAACATGAAGAATTAAAATCTAGCTTAATACGTAACTATATATTTTTAATACATGTATCACAGAAATATTCAGTGCGTACCAATATAGAATACATTTCAATATCAAATGAAACTTTGCAGGTGGCAGATCATATTTTTAAGGAATCTTTTTTGGGCTGGTTTGTTAAAGAAACAAGGCTTGTGCTATCACAACGTGTCTATATGTAACTTCTCTCTGGTAACTTTGAAACCTGTTGGCCAATTTCACCCAAATATAACTGAATTTCAGAAGAAAATAAATAGATTTCTTACGTGTTTGATGAAAATAGGTGGCCAAATAAAGAGAGACCCTATTAATATCCCACTGGAGGAAAGAGTACAATATCAACTTCCCTTCTTCAGACTTGGTTTAAAACTATCTGAATACGAGAGGACTGGAAGATGGCTTAATATGGCGCAAGTTTTTAGATTGGGTAAGCCCAACATCTGTATTGCACAAATTGACAGAAACTATTTGAAAGAAATAAATAAAAAATACGATGCTTTGGGGAAGAGCCAAGTTAGCTTTTGTAAAGGGAAGTTGTGAGCTACTGGAGCTCTTTGTTCAGTAAGATGTGGCCAAAGGATACATGTATTGATATCATTTTCTTGACTTTCCCAAAATCACTCACCAAAGATGCTTAAATAAGTAATCAGGAGATAAGGGGAAAGGTCATGTTGTAATTCAGTAGCTGCTTAAAAGACCTGGTGGGGAGAGGGAGGACACAACAACAACAAAACAGATGTTCCATTTTCACAGTGGAGAGGTTTACCATTGCAGTCTCAGAAGGATCAATGTGTTTGCCTCGTATGCAGTTCAGTATATTCATAAACGATCTCGAAAAAGAAGAGGAACAGAAGTAAAGTTTGCTGATGATGATAAGTTATGCAGTGAGCTGACATGAGGGTCAACTGTGACAAACTGCAGAAGGACCTAAGCACCTTATGTTGACAAGGTAGAGTAAGAGGGCAGGTGAAATTCAAGTTAAAGAGAAAAGACAGTCTTCATCCAAAACAGATACAATAGGCCTGGAAGAAGTACAAGAAGAGCAGCAGGAGTGAACAGTGTCCAGGAATAGCATCTGTGTAAGGAAAGACTAAATAGCGTAGGACTCTTTGGTCTGAAAAAGAGACTCTGAGATGGGATAAGACCAAGGTCTATAAAAACACAAATGACATGGAAAAGGTAAATAAGCAAGGGCTTTGCACTGACCCATTTAGTTGTTAAACTCTGCCAGAGGATAAGTGGATTCAGAAGGCAGTTGAACAGAGTGCATGTTTAGCAGTCAGGAGCAGAAGTACTGTAGTGCTTTCTCCTCCTGTCAGCACCAATTGCTGGATTATACTCTATGAGGTGTATTTTCTCTTAGTGTTTAGCTGAGCTGGAGAGCCCTGCATAGGTAAATTAAGTGCCTGAAATTCCTGTCCATGATTTGCCTTTGTTTTTTGGGAGATGTGAATTTCTTGTGATTTTTTTCAGAGGAGTCATGTATCTTGTGTCAGTGTAACTTGTCTTCAAGTGGTCATAGATTTAGTTGTCAGGGGCTTATCCACAGCTGCTACCATTTAAAGAGTCTTTCGGTTTTGAAGTATCAAGGGAGGTTCAAATGGTGACAGGTTTTGATTGACAAACTTAAAAGGGAATTCCTGTGTTTGCACAGAGAATTAATGAAGTCCTACACTACTGCTGTGATTCTAGGACTGTATTTTGGTAGCTAGTGTTTGCCTATTGGAAATTTGTAAGGACATAGTTTTTGGGTTTCCTTCTCTGTATCAACAGTGCCAACATATAACATTGAACTGAGTTCTTCCATCATCTCAGCTGTTATGCAAGCATTGATGTTTCAACCAAACATTGTACTTAAGATAAGCTGTGTGACTTCACATGTCTCTAGGTTATGATCTGCAACTGAGACAGCTATGTTGTTATCCCAGTGTTTTTTTCCCTTCTGTATTCCCTGTCTTCACTGTTAGTGGTTAGACTGGCACTTTTCCTTTCTGTCTAGCATCCAGTAACATCCAGCAGGTGGATAATAGAAATGTTCAGTTTTGGCTACACTGCTCTGACTGTCACTGTTCTGTTTTCTTACTCTACTGTTTCATCAGTATTCAGAGAGATGTCTTAACAAAAAAGCTGTAGTGGCAAGAAGTGAACTGTTAATTGGCTCTAAGATCTATGGGCATAGTTCCTCATTCATGGGGAAAATTATTTCACAGAGTACTTTCTGATATGGAAGAGAAAGGATAGATTTGCATTTTGGATTTTAAAATGTTAAATGCTTTTATTTCGTGATTCAAGTTTAGGATTGGCATTTTGTCTGTCATTGCAACGGGGAGATGAGTTTGCTTTTTTCCAGCTTTCAGGATTTGCGAATACCAAGCAGGCCTTTCCACTAGCAAGTGTGTTTGATTTCACGTTAAATCATGACGGCCACCAATAATGTCTTTTAATTTTTCCTGGATCCTGGCAGTCTTTTTTAGTTCCATTTTATGAGGTCCTTATTAGTAGTTGAAGGGACTTGATCAAGAGAACCTACTTTCCCATACAGTTACTGTAAATGACTGATTATACTTCAAGGATTGGGGTTCACGTACTTAGTTCTGCTAAGTTTCATCAGAGTGCTGTGTCTGCTTACAAGCTCTTGTATCTTGTAGATAAATTCTCAGTGTTTACCCGCTTCTTGACCATGCAAGTCTTCAGAAAATGGAGTGCTAATGTCTTTTTTGAGTAGTGTTCTAATTAAGAAAAGAGAAAATTAAAATAAATTAGATCATAGGTATACCTACAGTTGTTATGAGTTAAGATTGAAGCTTGTGTCTCTACAGCAGATAAAAATTATGCGATAGTCCAAAATTTTTTTTCTTAAACTATAAGAGATTAAGTGCCCGACTCTTGGCTGCACAGGTATTCGGTCAGGGTGGCAGACACGCACTTGGAGTAGTACTGGAAATTGCAATAGCCTCGAACGTGTTCTGTGAGGGTGCAGTCTTCTAAGACTTCAGTTGTAAAGTTTTAATTTCTATTAGGCATTTGTAAACTATGATTTTTGGAAGATTATAAATTTCGTTTTGTTTTATTTTTCATCTTTTTGTAATGCAAGGGTGTTAGGAGATTCTAAACAGAAGGTCTTTGGAAAAAATATGTTTCCATAGACTTTAGAACACTGAAGTATTTTGACTAGTAGGTTATGGCAGGCATCTAATGCAGAAAATTTTGCCCATACTATTAGAAAAACTTAAAAGCAGCTGAAAGCAACAGTCTTAAAATGAGAAAATTAGATTATATTACTATGCCTATCTTGTTGAATAATTTGTATACAAATGTAAAGCTAGTGATTAAAAAACAAAGAAAGCAGTACCCCCAAGTGCTACTCTTTCTTGCAACAACTAAATTACAGTTATCTTAAAGATTAAAAAAAGGATCCTATGAATCCTGGCTTTTGATTCTATTTTCTAGTAGGATGTTTCCCACAGTAGTCTGGTATGCCTGAGTGTGTTGGGGTTTTTTGTTTTCCTTGTGTTTTTTTCTTTTGTTTTTCAGACTGGCCTCATTGCAATCATCTTTTCTTCTGCATCTCATTTTCTTCTCCCTTCATGCAACCCCCAAACTTTTATTCCAGTCTGCTAAATCCAGAAGAGATTATTAGCTTGGATTCCATGCTGAGCCATAACTGAATTTAAATGTTGGTATTCATCACCACGTGGGAGTCAGTGGTCTAGCAAAAATCATTGCTGGGACGCTTGCTGGAAATGTGATTTTTTTTTTTGGGTGCCCCTTCCCCTTTTCTGTGCTTTTTTGGGGCTCAGCCTCTGCTAGGTTATGCAGCTCAATTCAGTGAGCACACCAATGTATTTAACAACTGCAAAAATGTAAGAAAAAAGACGTATATGAGAGATGATACATACATATTTGTTCCTGGTTTTCTGTAGATTGAGCCTCTCTACCTGTTTGTCATTACTACCTGTTTTGCATGTGACAGCAAATTAGTATATCAAAAACTACTATCTTTTCTCTCAGCAATGTCTCTCTCAACTTTTGCATGAAAGGTGTGTGCTCTGTTGAGGAAAAA